GCTCAGGCTCGGGGTTCCAACTTATTCGCGTTGGGAGGTATTTACGCGTTGAAATGCGTGCGCCGAGGGGGGCGTGCGCGCGGGGAACGTGTTCTCACGTGTCCACGGCGGCGTCGGATATCACCTGCATCCGAGTCTGATTGTTACACGTAGAAATGCCTGCGCGGGGGGGGGGAGCGTTCGCGCGGAAGACGTGTCTTTGAGTGTCCACGGGGACATCGGATATCTCACATGGTGCAGGGGGGGGCAATGCGCATATATCCTCACAGAGTGGTGATATTGGAGGACTTATTTTACGACGTTGATTTGTTACATGAACCTCTCGCCTGAGACATCCTAAGAAAATTATGCGTTGGAGATTGGACGTCGGATATCTAGCGTGGCATGTGGGGAAGGCTTTAAGCTTGAGACACCATGGGGATGGTTGGAGGAGTTGTTTTACGACGCTGATATTCCAAAATGAAGGTTCCCCCTACGACATCTTCAGAAAATAGCGATGTCGGAGATCAGACGTCGGATACTCAACTTGGTGTGGGGGAGCGTTTCGCTTGAGACGTCCTCACAACATGGGGAGGCTGGAGGAGTTGATGTACGACGCTGGTTTGCAGAAATGAAGTTTTCGCCAGGAACATCCTCAGAAGATGAGATGTTGGAGATCAGACGTCCGATATCCAACATGGTGTCTGTGTGTTTGTATGTTGTTGTATTCATGTGTGTTTGTGTGTGTGCGTGTGCGTGTGTGTGTGTGTGTGCGTGTGCGTGTGTGTGTGTGTGTGTGTGTGTGCGTGTGTGGGTGTGCGTGTGTGTGTGTGTGTGTGTGTGTGCGTGCGCGTGTCGGTGTGTGTGTGTGTGTGAGTGTCTGTGTGTGTTTTGTTTTGTGTGTGTGGGCGGGGTCGCTTGAGACATCCTCATACAATGGGGATGTCGGACGGGTTGTCCAAGTCACTGGTATGCAAAAAGGGACTACTCGCTCGAGACATCCTCAGAAAATGAGATGTGGGAGATCCGGCGTCGGATATCCGCACATCCTCACAAGTTGGGGATGTTGGCGGATTTGATGTACGAGATTGGTTTTCAAGAGTGAGATTTTCGCCCGCGGCATCCTCAGAAACTGATACTTTCAATCAGGCGTCGGGTATCCAACATGGTGTGTGTGTGCTTGTGTCTTTCTTTTTTGTGTGTATGTCAGCGCGCGGTTGCTGCTTCATACGACCTTCTCCGCCCTGTGTCGCTGCGCGCGGGGCCGCAACGCAAAGCAAGTGTGTCTGAGTGTGTGCGTGCGTGTGTGTGTGTGAGTGTGTGTGTGTGTGTGTGTGTGCGTGTGCGTGCGTGTGTGTGTGTGGGTGTGTGGGTGTGCATGCATGTGTGTGTGTGTGTGCGTGTGTGTGTGTGTGTTGTGTGCGTGTGCGTGTGTGTGTGTGTGCGTATGTATGTGTGTGCGTATGTACGTGTGTGTGTGTGGGTTTGTGTGCGTGCGTGCGTGCGTGCGTGCGTGCGTGCGTGTGTATGTGTATGTGTTTGCGCGTGTTTGTGTGTATGCGTGTAATTGTATGTGTGTGCGGGGGGGGGGCGTGCGTCGCCTGAGACATCCTCACAACACTGGGATGGTAAAGGATTTGTTTCACTACGCTGGTATTCAAGAATGAAGCTTTCGCCTGTGACGTCCCCTGATAGTTGAGATGTTGGAGATCGAGCGCCGGATATCCAACATGGTATGGCACGCGTGCCAAAGAAAGTTTGGCTCAAGTTCCTTGCCGTGGTCCCCCTAGGGGTCTTCAAGCTTTTCTGTGGGGCCAGCTCTTCAGTCCGTCGTGGTTGGACTCTCTCCGCAGCGAGGGGAGGCCTGGGATGGGCAACGTTTCGATCCCCCCCCGCAGACGGAGATCACCAACTCCCACGAGTTCCCCTGCCTGGAGGGGCGCACCAGCCGGGGAGCAAGAGCGGGGCGGTGCCCACGCTGCGTCGCCCGACGGGGAGCAGGCAGGGGCAGGGAGGAGGGGGAGGAGGGAGAGGAGGAGGGGGAGGAGGGGGAGGAGGAGGGGGAAGAGCATTGGATGAGGGAGGAGGGGAAGGGAGAGGAGGAGGGGAAGGAGGAGGAAGAGGAGCATGGGTGTTTGGGAGGAGGAGGAGGAGAGCAGGAGGAACGGAGGAGGAACGAGGACGAGGAGGAGGACGAAAGAGGAGGAGGAGGGAGGAGGGTAGAGAGGAGGAGGGGAAGGAGGAGGAGGAGAAGGAGAGGAGAAAGGAGAAGGAGGCTCAGAAGAGGAGAAGGAGGAGGAGTGAGTGGAAGCGGAGGTTAAAGGAGCATGGGGATGGGGTGGGGGGTGGAGGAGAAAATGGAGGCAGCGGAGGGGGGGAGGAGGGGAAGCGTGAGGTGGATGGGAAGGGGAGGAGGAGGGGCGAGGAGGAGGAGGAGCGAGTTAGGAAGAAAACAAGGACGCAGGGGGAAAGGGCCGTGTTGGGGAGGAGGGGAGGGGCGGGTTGGGGGGGGGCGGTAGGGAAACACAGTTCTGATGGAACAGAATATGCCTTCCGTGAGCAACAATGTTTGCCTTCTCTTCGGTGCAACAACTTCCTTTGGGGGAGATCGGAGGACCGCAGAGCAGACCAGACAAGCAGCCGCAGGAGCACGAACGGCATTGTGAAGGATGTGGGGGAGGAACAGGACGAGGTTAGGGACGAAGCGGGGGAGGGGGAGAGGAGGAGGAGGAGGAGGAGGAGGAGGCGGAGAAGGAGGAGGAGGAACAACCAGAAGAGGGAATAAGAGCAGGAGGGGGAGGAGGAGGAGGCTGGAGGAGGAAAGGAAGAAGGAGGAGGGGGAGGAGGAAGATGAGTGGTCGAAGAGGGGGGGAGGAAGAGGTGGGTAGGGGGGAAAGGGGAATTGGGCAAGGGGGGACGCGGACGAGGGAAGACGAGGATGCGAATGAGAGGAAACGGAGGAGGCGAAGGAGGAGGAGGAGGAGGAGGAGGAGGAGGAGGAGGGGGAGGAGGAAGAAGAAGAAGCAGTAGGCAGATGGGGAGGAGGCGAAGGTAAGGATGGTGAGGAGTAGAAGGGAAGGAAAAGGTCTAGGAAGGAGCATCAGGAGAAGAGCAGGCATGAGGACGAGGAGGAGGAGGAGGAGGAGTGAGAAGGAGCATCATGATCTGAGGAGGGCAGAGTAGGTCATCAATAGCCGTGGTAGCAGCAGCGGTGTTGGCAGCAGCTGTAGCCTCTGTAAGTGCTCCCCGAGGGGTCCACGCTTTACATGCGGTTGATCCTTGATCCTCGGGGAGGGCCCCTCCTCGACGCTTGTTTGGGACGGTGCCCGGGAGGTGCTCCAGAGAGTCAGCCCTGACGGGACTGCGGCTGGTGGGAAGCACGCCTCTGAGGCGCGCGTGAGCGAGGAGGGAAATCCAACCCGGCCCCTCGGACTGACCCCCTCTCCGTCTGCCGGGGGGGTGGGGGTCGCCCCTCTGCCGCGCCACCCTGTGGCTCCTCCCTCCCCCTCTCCTCCCCCTCCCCCTCCTCCTCCTCCTCCTCCTTCCTCCTCCTCCTCATCTCCTCCTCCTCTCCTTGCACTCCTCCTTTTCCTCCACCTCCTCCTCTATCCTTCCTCCTCATCCTTCCTCCCCCTCCTCCTCCTCCTCCTCCTCATCCTACACTTCACCCCCTCCTCTACCACCTCCTCTCCTCCTCCTCCTCATCCTCGCTGCCTCCTCCGTCCTCCTCCTCCTCCTACCCCGCCTCCTCCTCGTCGCTCCTCCTCCTCCCCTTGCTCCCCTCTCCCTGGCTGGGCATCCGCGAAATGGCCCCGTACCCGCAGGCCGTGCTTCCCGAGGCTTACCCTGCGGTCGTTTCCCCGAGGCCCGCTCTGCATCACGAGTCGCTCCTCGACGGTCCGGGGGGCCCCATGGAGGAGCGGAAGGGATCAACAGCCTCCCGTCGCAATCGTTTGCCGCAACGGGTGGGCGCCTCCGTTTGCTGCTCCCCGACCGTCTCGACGATCTGCACCGCGCAGTGCGGGCCAGAGTACTATACCCGGGCTGGAGAGGCGCGACAGCTCCGAGGGCCCTGGCCTCGGCCTGGGAGAGATGCTGGGCCGCGGCCTCTCTCGGCGGCTCGGCTCGCTCGCGGCCTCGTCCAGGCCCGAGGCCGAGCGGGGCTGCAAGGTCCCTTGCGGGTCCTCCTGGCCGAGCTGCGGGGCGCTCGCCGCTCTCGACTTGCACCTCCTGGGCCTCCCGCGCGCGAGGCGCCGCCGCGACGCGGCCGCGGCGGCGGCCGCGGCAGCGCGACACCTGTCGCGCGGAAGGCGCGGAAGGGTCAGGTCGAGGGCACAGCCGCCCTCGACATGCACCTCTCCGCACCCGCTGCTGCGCGGCAGGTGCCGCCGCCGCAGCGGCCGCCGCCGCCGCGGCGGCGGCCTCGGTGGCTGCCGCGGCCCACCCACCTGGCGGCACCTGCCGCGCGGAGGCTGAGGAGAGGCGCTGCTCGAGGGTGGTGCGGGCGCGCGCGCCAGCTGTTCGGAAGTCTATGTAATATAGCGCTCCCTTCGGCGCGTCGCCCCGTACTGGCCCACTGGATGAGCTTCGTGGTGGCAGGGCGATGCGGCCTTCACCGGGGCCCGCGTGCTCACAAAGTCCGGGGAAATGGAGCGCGGAGCTTATGCGTAGTTTTCGGCCTCTCGAGGTCCTCGCCGGGCCCCAGGGCCGTCGAGAGGCGACTCGAGATGAACATCCGGTCCCCGGGGAGGTGTCTCCGGGGGGTCTCTCTCGGGCCCCTTGTGTCCAGAGCCCCGGAGCAGTCGAGGAGGAGTCGAGGAGGAGGAGGAGGAGGAGGAGGAGGAGGAGGAGGACGACGAGGAGGAGGAGGAGGAGGAGGAGGAGGAGGAGGAGGAGGAGGAGGAGCAGCGTCTCCAGAGGCCCCTGGGGGGCCGAGAAAGGACAATCGACACAACAGACTGTTCAGGGGCGGGGGTCTCTCGGGGCCGCGGAGTCTCCGGCACGGCCGTCCGCTGCCGAAG